TAAATATATAATAAAGAAAAGTTGACCGGCGATGGACGGTGGCAGACTTAACCATTTGTACACACTAACACACGCGATCAACGATGATGGTCAAATGGTCATATATTTTCTTGAGTTTACGTTTTTCATCCATGTAGTTTGTTAAAAATTACGATATTTGTCCTTATAGTTTAGATATTGTGGTTTTAGTTCTAATAGTTTGTAAATAATTACTATATGCATTCTTATGTTTTATAATTTATTGTTGTTTCAGTCCTTTTATTTTATAATTCTTTATTATTTTGGTCTCTTTGTACTTAAAAAGGTAAGAATTAGTTCAAGTACGAAAATAACAATAAATTACAAACTATAAAAATGAAAACTGCAATGTAAATTACAGGGTCGAAAATCACATTTTTTAACAAACTATAAGAACGAAGAATGTAATTTAGGAGCCGTTTACCTAAGTGCTTACCGATAAGATTCAACATTATAATTTATTTTGATGCGTAAGATCTTAGTACATCAAAATATATCGAATGCAACAAGTTACTCGGTAAGAGTCGTCATCCTTACTTACCGGGTAAGACTCTCTATTCTTTTTTCATTGCTCTTACCCAGTAATATTCTTAGCTCTTCTCATGTTCATCCGATAAAGAAATTTATCCAATAAACACTTACCAAATAATTGTTTAGTAAACGGCCCCTTACTCCTTTTCTTTTTTACTTTTTGTTCATATGCTTTTCTTAGAATTATTGGCAAGACTTTGGTCCTTAACATTATTGGTCCATTGGGGTCCAAGTCGTTGGTGTAGGGTCCCACCTTTTCAAAATCAAAGGTTTTAAACATGGGCTTGAACTTTCGGACGGTTATCCACTTTGTACTTGGCTATCTAGCGTGGATTGTGGGTATGATAAGTCGTACACCAGACGTTTGTCCTACTCGATCCTCCTGTATTAAGGAAAGGTCATGTCAATGCTTTAATGTCCACAACGGATATGGATCGAGTTATCTCTAAGGTTCAAAAAGGTGTGAGGCATGGTGTGGTGGCGATATCAAGTCTCAAGCCATATACATCATGGTGAGGACGTGACCTTTTTCAAGGCGTGACATAAGGCGACAAATTTGTATGTCATGTATAGAATTATATATAGATATATGCTTTCTATATATTATTTAATCAGATAATAATATTAAAAAAATGCATATTCATATTAGAAGAAGAAAAATCATATAAGATTATTATTATAAAAATAGGTTTTTGATTAAATATTTAAATAGAACTTAGAAAGGTAATTTTACAAGTTCATTTTAACCGTAGGTCTGTAACGTTTATGAATTTGTGAAACAATGAGTGATGTGATTAAGTAGATATATAAAAGTGTGAAATCTAAAGCTAAAAGTGTAAAAACATAAATATAAATAATAAAAGAAATATAATTTTTTTTTTTGGAAAAAAATCACGTGTTTCAAAAAACACGCGTCGCGGCGCGCCATGGCGTGAGCCATGCCTTACAGAAACGCTATGGTCATTTCGTAACGGTGGAGACGTGTCTTGCGCCATATTACGCCATTACGTGCTTTTGAACACCGGTTCTCTCATGACGTTCTGAACCTAGCTAACATACCACTTTAATTGGGTGAATAGCCCCCATGGACGGACATAGTACGGTGGTAACGATGACACGTGTCACCGTTTCATTCATCCCCCGTAGTGTAAAAATTTTTAGGTTCGTGAAGATGCAACCATATTGATTTGTTGTGGCCACCATATATATCTTGAAACTACAATAAGATCATAAGTTTTCCTTCGTAGAGTTGGTTTGCAAGGTTTTTTTTCACCCTAGATCCGAGTTCGAATCCCGTTAGTATCATTTTCTTAGTTTTTATCTTTTTAATTTCACATTTATTATGTTTCTGAAAAAAAAGTGCAATAAAAAAACTGAACACAAGACCTCACATATGAAAAATAATAAAATAACCAACAGACCAATTATGATGTTGTAATAAATATCTCAATATTTGTTTCTTATAATCAAATGGTGTCATCATTTGAAAAAATTATTGGGTCCATCCATGATAGCCCCGACTCCTAAAACTTACTATAGCCCCAGGTGGCAAAAGCCAACATTTAACAACATGTGAGAAGTACATATGAATTTTAATGTATATAAATATTATATATAAAAAAATCTACTTAGCTTTATGGTAAGAGAGTTAGGGTGATCACTTATACTGGTTTTGCCTCTACTGCTAATGAACAGTTTATCTAGTAAAATCAGGGTTCTAAAGGCATACCATGACGTAAGACAGGTTTTCGTCATTACGATAAAGGCTTATAGCGTTTGTGTAAGACATGTCTCAAATCATGACGCCTTGATGCATGCTATTACACGCCACAACATGCATTTTTTTTACGAGACGCAACTTTTTATTTTTATTTTTTAACCGTTAAAAGAAATTATTTTTAGTATCTTTTTAAATTTATATTTTACACTTTTACATATTATCCAATCACATCACTTGTAGTTTCATAGATTCACATACGCCAGAGACTCACGACGAAAACAAGATTGTAAAACTCTTTCAAGTTTTAGTTTGAATATTTGATCACAAACTATTTATTTAATACTGTGATATATATATAGGAGCAATCAAATTCAAACCATCCAATTTGTATAAACCGTGCAAACCTCATTCAACCAATTATAATTTTTCATTTTGTTCTTTTTTTTGTAATTATGAGAGGTTGATTAATCATTTTTATTGTGGAGGGTGTTAATCATGGATATTACCATCTTCATTATTTTAATTTTAGAGAAATACATGAAACAGTTTCATTAAAATTTCATTAAGTATTATATGAAACAATTTCATAACCATATATGAAACAACTTCATCAAAAAATATATTATATGAAATAATTTCACAAGATTAAACAATTTCATGAAAAAATTTCATAAGATTAAACAATGAAATCGACGGATGAGGGTGGTTTGCACGGTTTGTATAAGTTGGGTGGTTTGATCGCTCCTCTCTCTCTCTCTCTATATATATGTATGTATATATATGAGCGCTCTTTTTCTAATATGAAACAAATTTTTAGATATCAGCATCTCAACGAATAATAAATAGAAAACATATATGTATATATGTAATTATATATGTGACATACAAATTTACCAACTTATATCACGCATTGAAAAACGCTACATGCTCGTCGTGGCATATAAGACTTGATTCTTGACTTGTCGCCATGCTTCACGTCATTTAGAACCTTGAGTAAAATCATCAGTCGATGTTAGCTCCATTGAGTAGGACTAGGGTTCGAAAAACTTCAAATCATGGTGCAAATCCTTTATCCTTAAACTCTATATATATTCGCATTTGATTTATATTGTGGGTTATGTCGGTTGTTAATTTGCATTCATGCTTTTATAATTAAAAACCAACAAGAATCACGAAAAGTTTGAAAACCTATTTACCATCAAATTTCATAGTTTTACATCAAAGATTTTTAACGGTTGAACTACTTGTAGATTATTTTTCAGACATGACAATAATATATAAGAACAACGATTGGTTTTTTGTCGACAAAGGGTAGTTTTGTCGATTTTAACCATTTGAAAATTTGAACATTCATAGGTTTTTATAAAACTGAACACTTTATTTTTTTCAAATCTAATGTAAATACGTTATTCCTTACAAACTCTCTTTGACCAACTAATTCGACATTAAAAATCGTTGTTATTGAAGAAGCCATTGTCATTTGATTTGATTCGTGGAGACAAAATTCACTTTCCCTCTTGTTTTTAGCTTTGACGACTTGTACTAGAGCTGATCATTTGTGGATTTAGGTGTTGTTTGCCCAATTGCTTACCCGATAAGTTCTTACTGATAGGAGTCAACATTATGATTCATTTTGATGCACAAGATTTTAGTACATTAAAACATATTGAATGCAACAATTTACTGGGTAAGCGCTTACTTGGGTAAGAGTCATCATCATCACTTATCGAGTAAGACTCTTCATCATTCTTATCCGGTAAGATTCTTGGTCCTTCTCCTGTTCATCTGATAAGAAAATTTATCTGGTAACCACTTACCAAGTAAGTGTTTAGTAAACGACCCCTTAGATTGGACTTGGATATGGCTAGACCTATATTTTTGTCCAACAGGTCTAATATAACAAATTCAAGCATTCTTTTATGGGCTTGAAGACTTGCCATTACCTACCCAATAAACGGTTTTTTTCACATTTAAAAAAGTAAAATTCATATAAAATTAAATTATGTAAAATAATTCACAATACAAAACAAAATTACCAACTTAAAGAGACATAAATATTTCATAATGCACGTAACTCAAGAAAAAAACTGTTTCGCCAAATATGGAGCGTCAACAAGGGAAACAGCCAAATGGGATAATAAAGAATTGATCATTTGAGGTAATTATGTTTCTAAAGCATCTCCCACAAGCACCCACCGCCCAGGACCGGAAAAGGTGCATGCAAACATTAAAGAGAGGTGTTCGGTTTGCGGATCCCGATAGTCTGATTGAATTGGAACCAATTCCATTCACAAAATTTCTTGGTTTTTAGGGGGTGTTTGTTCGTAGAATGTTTTTGGATGGAATTGAACTTAAAAGAATTGGAATATGATAGAAATAGAATTGAATTTAAAAGATTTTGATCTGGTTGACATAAGTTGAAAATCTGTCGGTTTGATTCTTGTAATCTACCTTCAGAACTTGAACGAAAAAATGATAACCCTGCAATTTACCTTTTAGGTTTCTTTGTGTGATGGTGGTGGCTGATGTTGGGTCAAGAGTGGTGGCAGTTGGTGGTGGTCAGCAATGGCGACGGTGTTACTAGCGGTGGCCAACAATGGTGGTAGGGTAAATAGTTCTTTTATTCTAAACAGAACTGAAATCTATTGTAAGTTTGTATCAATTATGGAGTTTGTAGCAAAAACAGGACTCATGTATTGTACCAATCATGAAAACCGTAACTCCGTAATCACAAACAAAATCCACAACCGATCGAATATACGCAAACAACAATCGAAAACCACCAATCAATTTCAAACTAGAAATGAAGAAAGCAGTCAGCGATCTGGAAACATAAGCCACAAATTTATGCTAAACATTGAATTCAGCAGCTACAACCAGATGCAATTTCAAGCAAGTTTGTTTTCGATTCAGATAAACCGATTATTCATGTATATAATTTATTTAAGCAGCAAGAGAACCAACAATTGGATACTTAGCTTCGAATTTCTTCTCCCAATCATTCAAAATTCCGATCTCCTTCTCAGTGAGTCCATCAAGAGATCCGATAACATCTTCATCGTTCTTACTCATCTTAGCTAGAGCTCTGCTCGCATCTTTACCGGCGAACATGGCGTAGGAACCGCCGGGACCGTAGAAGGATTTTGCGGTGGTGACGTCGAAGATACGGCCCTTGACGCCGATGTAAATAGGGTTTGATGGATTGGTGCCGTCGTACTGCTTCAGTTGGTCTAGGGTTAGCTCCATTGGATTGGGTAGGTGTGATTCTGGAATTGGGGAAGAGATAAACCAGAAGTGGGGAAGAAATATTCGCTTTTGTGCCATTTTATTTATGGTCGGTCATTTTTTTTACAACGGTAAAATTATTTAAATTATTATTTTTTGTTTGAGTGGATTATTTAGGTTAATTAATTTAATCAAAATTCAACAAAAACAATATGATAAATTATCTACTTTAACTTGATTTCTATTTTGAGTAAAATATTTTTAAAACTTTCGTATTGATACCTAAAATATAAAGTTTTAAACATTCAAATACTCGGGCACCCGTTGAAGACTAATTTTAGATTAAAAAAAAGTAATTTTAGATTAAAAAAATTTATGTCACTAACCACGTCAGCAAATAATACTGAGTTGGATATCACATCATCATGATAACCGGTTAATTCTTCAACAAGTTGTCTGGATACTTAAATGTTTAAAACTTTACATCTTGGGTATTCAAATGGAAATTTCGAAATTACTTTACCTAAAATTAGAAATTAATTTAAAGTAAATTATTTTTTCACGTAATTTGCCCATAACAATATAGTCATATTACTGGATCTAGGTGCGTTATAAGGACTTCTCTTTCTCTCAGCTGGATTAGTTTGGAGGAAAAGGCAATTGATGGGTCGTAGGATTGTGGAGGTTTTTTGTGATTTGGCGATTGTTTTCGTAACTAGCTTGTTTCGCTTTTGCTATCTTTTTCGAGAAGGTGTTTTGTGTTGGTTTTTTTCAAGGATCTCCTCAAGTCTCTCGGTAGTGTAGGCGTTTGGGTTTTGTTGGCTGCTTTTTTGTTGTGTTTGGGTTTTGCTTGTTTCTTTGGTTTTGTTGTTTGTTTTGACGTTAACTAAATGTTTATCAAGTAAATGTTTATCATTATCACTTACTTAACTGATTTAGCATGACAAATACTAAGAATCATACCCAATAAAAGACATAACATGGACCGCGAGTCTTACCTGGTCAAGAAAAACATTCTTAACCGAGTTTAAGATGCTTACCAACAATCAATTTTGATGGTCAAGAATGTTACAAGATAAAGTAACCGAGAGTTCTCTTGCCCGTAGATGTCTACCCACTAAACGTTCAGCAAACAACCCCGTAATGATGATGTGGTGATTTCTTTTTCGTGCAAAATGATGGTTTAAGAAACAAGTTTTTGGGGAAAAAGCAAGAGAGATTATGGTTAAAACATACCACCAAATGGGGAAGATTGATTTCAATGTAAAATATACCACCTAAGATGGTAGTTGTGATTTGTGACATGAATCAATTTGCAGAAAGGTTGATTTATATGCTGTTATTAGTGTTACAAAGTCGAAAAAAGATGACCATTCACCATGGCAACCACACATCGAAGGCAGATCTGAATGGGTTGGTCTGGAATATTTCGGGTTCGTATGAAAGTAAATCTGGACGAAAAGAAGATGAGTAATCCGGACTCGATTGTAAGGTTCTCAGCTTGGCAAATTTGGAAACACAAGAAGATGCAACATTTGATGACAAATATATGCATCGAGAAAATGTCGGCAGTGGAATCAAGGTAACTTGTATATACTTTCCTCCATGAGGTCAGATGACGTTTTAGTGTTTAGTCATGTCATGTCCTGTCCTGTCTCATGTACCAAATGCGTCCTAACTGAAATTGGTTTTCAAACATGAGTTACAACCAAGCCACAATTGTGCATCAAACTTCCAACAAAACTACAATATCTGAGCAAATCCATCATTGGGGCATATGAGATCTTTAACACAAGCTTCTTTCTAGGCTAGTTTCATGCTTTTCCAGCAAAGCCTTGCCTTAAATTTTGAGGTTGATTAAGCCCAAATTCTAGATGAGATTACAACAGACACACATGTTGCTGAGATCAAAATTGGCTCTCTCAGTCTCACCAAATCCAGATCGAGCTTGTTGAGGCTCGAACTCATTTTTTCTACCTCGTATGAAGGTAGAGACCAATACGTGTGTGTTTGGTACACGGACAGGACCGAACAAGACTAGATGGGAAAAAGTGGGATAGACAGAAAGAATAGTGTAAGGTATTGGGGACCTAATTTGACATAACTTGTCCCATTTCCCTAGATTTTATTCCACCAATTTTGATGCTACAGGAAAAAACTTTTCTCCTACAGTCATGTCCAGTCAGTCTAATTGTCGCACCACGACAACCAGTTTTTGTTCTGTTCTGAACCGTTCTACGTAAGAAACGCAGCCTTTAGCATATGGTTTAAAAAACTAAACACCAAGGGTAGAGATAATCTAAGACATATTTCTATCCTCGATACAGGCTGCATGAAATCACGTTTCAAATGATAACCATGGGAAACACAATATTAGCAAATCAAGATAGTAGCATACTTAGACATATGTCTAGCCTTACATTAGAAATCATAGACAGTATAGATTCTTCTCATATTTCATAAAAATGAGTTTTAGAGCTGGGGGTGGGGGGATGGAGGGGGATGGAGTAGAATGGAACCAACTTATTGTTATGGCTAACCAATGACAAAAACCCATTACTACTCTATCCAAAAGAATATGGAACATTCATACCTCCAGTAAGTCAGCAATGTGTGTGCCCAGCCAAATATCTCTTCACATCTGCATTGTGGCATCTAAGTTCAATTAGATGCTACTTCACAACTCGGGTATTGGCAAAAATGACGAACTTAACCATTTGCAATCTTCGATACTCACAGAAAACCGAGCGATTACTTTTTCTTGTTTCTGAACTTCTCTTTGAGCAATGTGAATTGCTTCTTGCATTGGTTAACTGTTTTCCCCGGAACAGCAGCAGCAACGCGTTCCCAGCGCTGGTTGGTTTCTTTTGGGAATGTCTTTAAAGCTTGAACCAGTGCTGTTTCCTGCACAGCAGACCATACATCTTGGTCTGAACTTGAAGAGGCTGCTGGCTCCACTTTCTCTGCATCTTGGCTCGGTTTGGATGAAACCCCTTCGGTTTGAGCAGGACTGGAAGAGACACCGTTTGGCTCAGTGGGCATGGAAGTAAGTGGAACCCCCTCAACTTCCTCCCTGGTTGTAAGAGGGGACGAAATTGAAACTGCAGGTTTTCGCTTTTCAAGAAACGAATCAAATGCTTTCGATGAGTCAGGTTTCTGCAAAAGAACGGTTTTGGTTGCTTTTAGAATCTCCTCCACGGACCGCCCGGTGCCAATGTACTCCGATATGACCTCCCATCGGCGAGATGTACCTTTAGGATACTTCACTATCCCTTTCCTCAAGAGCTCGATCTCTTCTTTCCCCCAAGGTTTCTCTTTTTTCTCAGGAGTACTTTTAGGTTTAGGAACATTTCCGTTCGGTTTTACAGTTCCATTTTGTTGACTGATCTTTACCACATGATCTTTCTCAGAATGGTCCAAACTAAGGGCCTCCTTCAGAAGTTCAGCTTGATTATGCCCTTCCTTTCCTTCCATATTGTCGCATAAGTTTCTTAATTGTAATGTATCAAGTGCCATGCAGATACTTTCCACATCATCTTTGCTAAGATTAAGCAAACGCTCGGAAACAACCGCAGTCGAGAGAGTTCGAAGACGAGTTCGTTCTTTTCGCAAAAGTTTTTTCTCCTTTTCTTTCACTTTCTTCTGTTGTGAAGCAGCCTCCGCAGCCTGCTTGTCCTCTTCTTCTTTCTTGCGCCTATTTTCTTCGGCAACTCGAGCAGCTTCCTCCTCCTGCTGTTTCTTTGCCATAAACTTGGCCTCTTTTTTCTTCTGTTTCTCTGCTTTTAGCGTCTCCTTTCTCCTCAAAACTCTCGGGTCTCGTTTATAAGCATTGTCGACAAGAGAACGTATCCTTGCATGCTCCTCCTTCCTTGCCTTCTCCGATAGTTTTGCATTCTGCCTCTCCATCCACCTTTTATGGTCACGTGATTCCGCTTGCTCAAGATCAAACTCATCAGCATGTGGGAACTCTCTCCAACTTTTGAAACCGTACCAAAAATCATAAAATGCATCAACATCTTTAAGTGAGGTATTGTCGTCCCCAAGTGAAGGGATAGGTTGAATAACCGACCAGCGCCCATTCCTCATAAAAGCTGGTCCAAATACCTTGAAGAAGTCTTGTGGAGAACAGTCGGTAGGAATCTCATCATCAAACTCATCAGTGGAGTCGTAAATTCTTCTCCTCACAGGATCAATCAACACCTCATATGCTTCTTGAATGGCCTTGAAATGGTTCTCTATTTCATCTTTCTTTGCTTGTTTAGCAGCTTCGGTTTCCTCCCCAAGAAGAAGAGCAGCCTGCTTGTCAGGATGATGCTTTAAAGCAGTCTCACGGTAGCTCTTCCTAATTTGCTCTTCGGTTGCAAGATACCTTAAATGACCCAAACCCAATAATGCATAATGATCTTGTTGGTTCGCCCCATCACCTGACTTCTTTTTACCTTTGCTGCTATATGAATCCGATGATTGCATATACTCATGCTCTTTGTCTTTAGGCAATTTTTCGTTATCATCTGCTACATTTTCCTCCTCAAAATATCCCCGGAGCTTAAGTGCAACATCATGAAAGGAATGACCAGCAGGTTCAAAGTGTGAAGCCTTTATCGGGAGAGAATTTGAGGAGACATAAATCGCCTCTCCATTTACAAGCTCATCTGGATAAGTAATGAGACGAATGCATGCACGGGCTTTCATAATTATGGCAGCTCAAACATCCACGGCTTCAAGCTAACACTGATGTAAGAAGAACAAAGGTCAATACAGCCAAATAAGTGAGTAGATGGATTTAAAGACTATTTGAACATATTAATTGCAAGTTGAACAAACACATGGCATACAAAAATTTATAAACAGAATAAAGTTCTATTGGCTGGCATTGTACAAAAAATTCGTTGGACTTGATCTTTCCGACTGATCATAAAATAAGCAGATTACAAACATAGCAGGAGAAACAACCAGCAGTACAAACAAACAGATTACCAATTTAGAGCTTCATCATGCTATCTGCCAAAAAACAACCCTGGCTACTGGTCCTAGGCTGAGAGTATTCACCGGTTTAAGTAAGGAAATTATTGGCTATAGCTAGAGGCCCTTTTTCATAATTCATATCTAGACAGTTGATGCTAGTTACTTAAGGTGAAGAACAGAATTACTGCATTCTAATGCCAGAAAGCACAATGGAAACGACTAAATAAAACATTCCACTCAAAACCCCACTCTGTGTCTTCTCCAAATCTTTACTCTGACTCTGCTAAAATATTTGCAACCAACTCAGCAGTTGCACGTTGAGTCAAATTTGTATTGGAGATTGGAAAGGGTAAGCATGGCAAGTATATAGTCAATAATTATCGGTATCCATATCTACAATACACACATTTGAGCAATGTTTTTGTTTTCCATATTTCTCTCTATGTTGAATCATATTTTTTGTGTCCTACATATCCAATGATTAAATTGAATCAGCCTAAATGGAGCTGGCTAGCATCCCCTTCTCTGAGGAGTTTCTAGAATATGTTAGCTTGTAGTACAGAGGGCCTATGAGAGCAGTGAATAACAGCTAAAAATGCAACTGAATCTCTACCACGCAGTTTGAAAAAACCAAAATCAGGTTACTTTGTAATATTCCTCTCGAGTAAAACTCAGTTTGTTTACGTTTAACATGATTATCATGTTAATGATGTTATGGGCTTCCTTCTCATTCGAGTTCTAAAGCATATTCCATGTCCAGTAATTCTGGATTTCAACCCATGCTGTAGAACTTTCTAGAATTAGAGTAAATTTTATATTTAAAATTTGATGCTCTAAACCATAACAAATGTTGATCAGTATTTATTCGCAAAGAGTGATATAAAAGACAAGATGACAAAAAAACAGACACGGAGAATATCTTGGTAAATAGGAGAATCAGAAGAAAACAAGAGGTAAGGAAATATGCAGATAAGCCAACCAAGACTTTGGGTCTCTTGAGTAACAGGTGATTGCCATGGTCAAGGGGAATATGTAGGATTTCCCGTGGTGAAAGCAACAACTAGGTTCTAGAGACCAACTACATGCATGAATATCTGACATTTGAATATGCACCGAATGGACACACATACCAAACCAAAAGTAACCAGTAACCACTATATGTCACTCAAAAGTAGGTTTTGAAATAGAATGCACACAAACCCTTCATCTATCTCTAGGAGTAGATAGGCTGTTTGTGTGAAGATCCCAGATAGTGACAGCTTTTAGCAAGATTCGGAAGTTCTTTTTTCTTTTATTCATTAAAGCTTTGAAGATTTTGAAGGATCCATAATAGTGCACTCCCAACTACTAAAAATTAATCCCTCTCTCTAGCTATCCTAGGGGACTGGTAACTTTTCTGTTGGTTCTCTAGCCCATCCCCTCCCCCTACCCCCTTTGCAGTAACTACTAGTCCCTATGAATTAACCAGTAAACCACTACCCTAATCTGGCTTCCTTGTAAACTCTTACTCACTCACGCCCTCAAGATATTTAGGCTGCCATGCCCAGCCTCAGTTGCTCACCCCACATCCTCCTCGGTCTGCCTCTCCTTCTCACCCCCTCAACCATTACGGTCTACACCCTCCTCAACTGCGCCATCATCTGCCTCCTTCTAACATGCCCAAATGATCCAAAACATACGCAAAATTCAAACTTAATACTCACAGATGTTACCCTAATTCAGATTATATCTGTGCTTGAGATTTGCAATATTTGGTTCATGAACCATATAGCAGTTGGACAACTATGCTCCACAGCATTTGCCAGGATATATTGCATATAACAACAAATAAAAGCTCAATCCCAATTAGAAATTATGGAAAAAAAAAAAAGAAATTGGCGTAGAACGAACCCATTTGCTTCTTTAATGAAAACGTATTCTGTTAAGTTCCAAGCTTTGACAAAAAAAAACCAAGCTACGTCTAGGTTGGGATTGTTAACATATGGGATGAGACTAGAACAGTAAAACATGTGACCTTAGACCTGTATAAAAGAAAGGAGATGAGTCACTAGGGCATCGCATTTGTCTAATGTATCACATGATGCAAGCAACAATAACAGTTCAAATTAACTACATTGTAAATAAGGTAAAGACAGGATTAAAAAATAGAAGAAAAATCTTTCCTTTAAAATTCTCTACCTCCTGTTTCCTAGAGTAACCACTAGATCCATTGCATTTTTTATTGTGACACAAGCAGTCTAGCACCATGGTGAAATAATTATTATGTACTAAGCCAGTAAGATATGTAAAATCCCAAACCATCTGTGCTTAGAATGGCTCATAAGTATTTCTTGTGTTTTAAAACACAAGCCTTATCTCATGAACAGCCAAGAAACAGGACACATATTCAAGAACCTAGAGAAGTGCAGACAAAGAAAGGTACTTATAAATTCTAAAGATTACACCTTCAAAAAACACCCAAGATTTATCACCAATCAATAACTCTGTAGAGTACTATGACCCTCTCAAATAAAAATATCAATTAACACACAGCTGTAACCAGCTTATTCCGTTAAATACACACATTTAAATGTGAGGAACAAGAATTTTGTATAATTATATATTTTGCATCCTCGCGTCCCATGAACTTTGCATCTTTTGAATGATCATGAAGTTCAAGAAATTCGTTTAAATAGCAAAGAAGAACCTTGTAAAACAAAATCAAAACCATCGATATATGTATAAAACTACAAATGACGATGAACAACACCAAGAAAAAAATTGTTCACGATAAATCTATTCCCACAGATATTACTTATTCAATCCGAATGAAACCACAGTAATAAATTTAACCAATCAACAGCTGGTTCGTGATATATAGCATTAATAAGGCTACTTAATTTCTGTTTTCCGATGAAAAAGAATCTTTGATTACCTATTGGACGGAGTGATGGCTTGGTGAGAACGCTCGATCTGTGAAATTAGGGTATAACAGATGAAGAAGATGATCAAGAAAGATTGAGAAATAGACAAGATTTTTGTAGTTTTGATGGAGAGGCGCAGAGAGATTGAAGCGGGGAAATAAAGATTTGGGGGTTTAGGGTTAACAGGGTTGGGCTGTTGTAAGGCCTCAAGTTTAGTCTAACCTTCGTGCACATTTTGAGTTGTTATACTTGTAAGTTGTAACCCATATGGAAAGTTACATATTTAGCCCCTCAACTATCTATTATAAGCAATTCAGTCCTTCAATAGAAGATATTTCACAATTTGGTTATTATTGTTGTCACATCCTTAAATAACGAAAATTGCAATAAATAATGACAAATTTATATTCATTTGTAATTTACTAGAAGGGTACTCGCGCAATGCAGTTAGATACATCTTGATTTTAATGTTTCGTTTTATAATTTGAATCCATCAATGTTATAATGCGATCTTATTTGGTTGTGAGAAAAATAAAATGTTTTTATTTTTGAGTGAAATATAAATTTGAAGATATTATAAAATTTTGAAAAAAATAATCGATTTTAGTATCAAATTACTATTTAAAAGTTTTCGTTTTTATGCAATTCCTTTAATTCATTTTTTTATATAATTCAATTAAATTTAATAATGAACTAATTTATTTTTGGTCTAATAAAATATTTTTTTAAGATAACAATTAAGTATTTTGTTAGAACTCGATAATTATCTTAATTATATTTTAGATTTTTTAAATTTAAAATGATGTTTATCATGTATTTAATTGTGTTTATCTGCAATTAGTTACACGAATTCAAACATGAAGCTTTAATAAGATGTACTCATGCATATTCTACTTGTAATCTTGAATTTTAAATAATATGCATTAGTAAACAATATTTTATGCATAAAAATTTGTTTTTAAAATTTTTATCAAATGCTTTATAATATAGTATAGATATTCATTAGTTATTTACAGGACGTCAAAAATAACTGATGTATAATAGATCGCTTTATTTTAAAAATAAAGACCATACATTTCAAAACAAATGTCTTACCAGATAAGGCACACCATCAAAATGACATTACTAAAATTGTTGTTAAAAGCGTCTTTTATCCGGTAATTGCTAATTGGTAGGGGTGTTGGCGCGGTCCGATTTGGGCGGTTTAACTCCTCAGATCACAAACCAAACCGTAATGGTTGTTTATAAATTTTTTTAAACCGAGAGGTTTGACATCAAGTGCCCAGACCGATCAAACCGAGACCACGAGAATGCGGTCTGGTTTGACCGGTTTAGGCGGTTTGAGCCTTTAATAGATTTGAACAGATTGAGTTTGGAATCGAAAAACTTGAAGGAAAGAATTGAATCACTGGGTTGATATCTCGTTGAAATTAAACCATGTATTAGGAAAGATCGATAGAGTTCTTGAAGGATTTCAAAATTTGGAGACCGTCAATGTCAAATGTGTCGATATGTTTACTGGTTTAGAGATTTTTAGGCGCCGATTCATTTGGATTTGATTATGTTATATATTAGACTTTATGTTGGGCTTAGAGATATATTTAGGTCATAGTCCATAAGTTAAAAAAGTTGGATTTGCTAATACTAAAATAAATAAATATATATATATATATATATATGTATTTGGCGGTCGGTTTGGTTCAGACCGCCTAAAAAGGGTTCCAGACCGCATAGTGGAGCGGACCACCTGATTTTGCTATTTTCCAAACCAGACCAAACCGCCAGACCGTTTAAACAACCAAAAACGGTCTTGTTTGACTTGATTCGGCCGGTTTGAACGGTCCAACGGTTTTTTTGAACACCTCTACTAATTGGTTAACAATCACCATTCTCACGTATTGAGTAAAATTATCGGTTCTTATCATATATACCAGATAAGATAAAGGAGGGAGGTAAGTTTTAGTTTTAGTTTTGAGCAGGCGCTTAGTTTTAATTTCGAACGATGAGATACGGAGAAATAGACTCGAAAGACATATCAAATATGTCATTTGTTCAATCAATTAATAGCAATCCTTGATCCAAATTTAATTAGTATTCAAACTCATACATCTTTTTCAATGATTAATATCATTTTAATACATTAGTTCACATTTTGAAATCTGTAACATGCGGAATGTAAGATTCAAACAAAAATGCAACAATATATTTATATTCACAAATGAATAGTGTATGAGCATATAAGACTGAGGGGCGCTAATATTTTGTTTTTGAAACCTTTTTTACAAAGGAAATGTAAGGAAAAGAAGGGAAAGTACAAAAACTAGTTTTGTCGAAATCTTTTTAGGAGAGAAAGAAAAAAAAAACTAAATTAAAAACTCTTTAAGATATTATTAAAAATACAAAACTACTGAAACTTTCTTTATAAAATGAGAAAATTACACCATAATAGAACCAACTTTGAGTTGATTCCTATTTTAGGGAAACAACTTTCAAACCCATCATTTTAGGTCTCACACAAACTTTAAGTTTAATTACCTGTTCAATAGGTAACGGGTAAACATAATATGACATGACAAAGTATTGGTTAATAGAAATAAAATAGTATTGTTAAAATAAATATAAACCCAACTCAAAAATCAAAATCAAAATACCAAAGATCAATGATGTATGTTCCAAACAAGAATATCAATGAGAAAGAAATAGAATGACAACAGATTGAAGCTTAACCGTAGGACAACAGAAGCAACAAGCCGATGATGCAACCCAAGATTTTCTGATGATGGTAGCAAACGTAAGTGCTTTATCGATCTCTTCTAACATATCCGCCCCTCTCTCTTAAATATACACACCTTGGTGGGAGAAGTTTTAATGGCTGTAGTTATGGATTATGCGTGAAAGATGGAAAACTCACATGTAAGTTTTTATGGACCGATTGCAAGTGATTTTCAATTTGGTTTCTTCAATTTGGATTGTTTTCATCAGTTTTTAATGCTTCCAATACAGATTTCAGCCTCCTTTCTTCTTCTTCTTCCCATAATGCCCCTCGACCCTCTCTCCTCAAATTTTCGGCTTCCATGGAAACAATACATTTGAATGAGAAATCAAACCTTTAAACCAGGGAGCGAAAATAACAGGGGAATAATAGTTGTCATTGATGAAGCTTTCAAACATTCAAATTCAAATCGAAGATGGGATGTAAAACAAATACCGCCATTGAGGGAGGAGATGGGTCACGGGGATGAGGATTTTGGAGACGGGTGACGATGGTCTGGGGATGGGATGGATTTTCAGGTTTTAATCTTTAATTTCTTTATTTAAAAATGTAAAATGGAATTTAGTTATTAAATATATAAATAAATATGTGATATCATAATTATTAATTTCATGTTAGCATTTTCGATTTATTTTTTTAATTCTAAACCTGATGTGAAAATCTAGCTGAAATATAATTTACACAATTGGTTTCATTATTTATAAAAACTACATTACAAAATAGCTACTAAATTTTTCCACAAAATCACTATACAAAACTTGTATACATAACGTACAAGTATTCAAATACAAACAATAACATGTTATTCTCAACATCTCATAAATTCCTCACAACTTTCTCTTCCTCTTATCTTCTGGTTGTGCCCGACATGTAATGCACATTTTCAAAATACCAAAATGAGTGTTAGATCTTGAGGTATAGTGAGAAATTCATTTGTTTGCTATTACAAGGTAAGTAATCACCAAAACACATTTATAAACTCATATTTGTGTCAGTAACAAATAAACAACATTTTAATAAAACAAACATTTTTTGCCGCATCAAAATGATGAGACATTATCCAATTATCGCATCAAATAGTCAAACAACTCATTTATCACATTAAAATAAAAACTCATTGCATAATGTAGATGAAAACATAAATTCCCCACATCACATAGATGAGACAATCCCCTTTTCTCGCAACACACTGGTGCGAGGACCCCATCATATCACATCACATGGGTGCGATAAACCAACTTGTCGCATCATACTGGTGCGATAAGTCAACTTGTCGTATCATTGTGGTGCGACAAATATATGTCCTCACATCATAAGGGAATTTTACACACTTTTATGATAAGGGAAATTTACACACTTTTTCTTTATTTTAAATTACTTTGGTCTTGTTTGTTTTTTCATGTCTTAATTACCACTTATGTTTGATTGATTCAGACTTTTTGTAGTCTTATCACTTACCCTCTCTCTCTCTCTCTCTCTCTCTCTCTATATATATATATATATATATACACACACACACACACACACTAGTTATGTACCCACGCAATGCTGCGGGAGCCGTGAATTTTAACGATTTTGAAGTTTCACTGTTTTGTTAGAGAATATTTAATGATAATATACGTTACACTTGGTCTTTACATGATGAAAAAAATTGTATGACAATTTAAAATCAAATATATTTAAAATTCAACATATTTAAACAACTCTATAAATGTGTTCGATTTACACCAAAAGCAAAGAATTAAGAGATCGAGAGCAAGACCGAGAGGTATAGAGCAATTGAATGAGAGAACTTTTAGTAACTCATGGTGAATATCAGTTTGAATCTTACATTGGGAGATGAGGAGAAGACATAGAGGTATGAGATGATGAAGACATGAGTGAAAGGTGTCAAAAGTATATTGGGAACATGAAAATAAAACGTAATAATGTGCATTGGTAACTTGTATTATATGTTATTTTAATTGTAAATTGAGAGATTTTAAGACTGAATGCATAAAGTAGTAATACTAAATGCATTATGAGTTTTTTAAGACTTTGTGCATTAAAAATTGTTTTTAAGACTTTTGATAAATTTGGCTTATAAGGTAGTATATATATATATATATATATATATATATATATATATAGTCAAAGACCTTCCAGTCTAGTGGTAAAGGCTTAGGCATGTCATAGTCATGAACCCGAGTTCGAGCCCTGGGAGGGGAGTGTTGACGACATTTAAGTGGGGCCATGTTTAGCCTCCAAATTTGCCGGGGATTAGTCGAGCTTTGGCCCGGACACCCTTACAAAAAAAAAAAAGGTAGTATATATATATATAAATTCTGTACGTATAGGTAAGCTTAGAAGATTAATGTGAAACAAGAACTTCTATCGGCAATCTATTCTTTATCAAAAGTATCTATCTTTCTGCAACAAACTCACCGGCGACATTCCTGATAGCATCGGAAATTTGAAAAGTATCTAAAAGGTTCTTAGTGTGTTCCATCTGTTAAACAATTGTTGAGATGAATTTCGACTATGAAAATTTTATGAAAATCAAGAGAATTTTACAAAATGTTTGCACCGAATTTTACGAAAACAAACTATTGATTAAAATTTCAGACTTTAGACATTTATCGGTATGTAAAAACAATCAGTCTTATTGATTCGAATTTCAAATTTCAACAACATATTTTATTAATTAAAAATGAAATAAGATTTCAGATTTAACACTTCTAATAAAAAAAAAACTATCACATCTGTTTTTTAAAAATCGTAGCTAAAATAAAGGTGCATAAAATTCTCCAAATTTACTGCCAGAAAATGGTGGTCGGTGCGGGTCGAAGCTTGAAATCGGTGGCTACATGGTTTTATTTGAGAAACCCTAATTTTCTTACTCATTTCAACGGCCGACTTCCCTTCGATTGGATCTGAATCTCCCACTTCTCTCCCTATGGATCTGGGATCTTACTACCCTTCAACCGGAGATCATCCATAATTACTTCAATTTCAATCGGCTACCGGCGTAAACTAATCACTCTCTTGTTTCATCTACCAATTTCAGAACATAGATCTTAACTCGGATTCGCTGTTTCTGCTGAAAGTATAGGTATTTGAAATTTCTTTCATGAATTTCTTAAAATTTGATCGTAAAAATCATATTTTTCCTCATCACAATCCGTTTTTGAATAATATTTCGATCTGATTTTGCTCTAATTACTTTATGAAGTCTTAAAATCTTAAAAACACTCTTGTAATGTTTCCAGATTGACATGGTGTGATATCCATGGCTCATTTTGTTTTCATATCGCAGAAACTATGAGCGTCATATATGTATTTTGTTCCGATTAACCTTCTGTTTATGTTAGTAATAAATCAAATTTGCAATCCGATGACTTTATAAAGCTACGAGATCTTAATAACTCTGTGATGTTGGTTCCAGATGGATAAGATCTGAAATTTATGATATTATTTTGTTGTTTCTATAAGCGCAAAGTGCATCAGATCTGATGGAATGGAGCTTAATGAATAAGCTTTTTGGGTAAAGCTATTTGAAGTTCCCTTGTTCTTACATTTTAAAGTAACGAAGATCTTGAGTTACATTTTAGTTAACTGGTTTACTGCATATTCATCAACAAATACTCAGTAATCTCTAATATTTCTGAAGACATCCAAAACCGAAATGTTTCTTGATTTGCATTTTTTCTGCAGCATACATAGTTCACACACACACACACAGAGATATATATATATGTATATATATGTATATATATTTTGGAAAAATGCCATGTCTCGGGTCTAAGGATTATCAATTTGTTCCAAGTTTAAAGAAACCATATCAATTTTTTTTTAAAAACTCATTGGTGGTTGGGCACATATGAGTCATATGACTATCGGTTTGTAGCTGGGTTGATAGTTTTTTCAGTTTTTACCTGATAGAAGCTGGGTTTCTAAATGTTTCCTGTTCTATGCTTCTTGTAGGTGAAGGTAATGTTGATCGTTTGCTTGCTAATGTGATTTTAAGACCATCTAATGACAATTTTAGAGGACAATATGGAAATGTGCTCTACATCCTCTTACACATGCTTCATGGACCTTGACACAGATGTCAAAATGTTTGGATCTCAGGTGATTCCGACGGTTGCAGCAAATGACTAGTTGGTACCATTAACACATCACTAGTGGCCTTTCTTGCATCGGGTGCTTCAATGCGATACAAGATGTTGCTTGGTCACTAATGCAAGTATGCTTTTTATGTGATTTTGTTCATCAATATAGTTGGATTAATTTAGATCATAAGTTGGGTGATTTTTAGATACTTCAAAAGGGTCGGATCGAAGGGTAAGAAGATGAAATGCATTGTTGGAGATAATAATGCTCTCCCATTGCTAACGATAGGAGAGCTTTGCATGCACCATGGACTTCCACGATAGCTACGAGAAAATCATTGTTTACAACCATGCGGTTTTTGGAGTTTATTTTCAATATGCTAAAATGAGAATTTTTTGCTTTCCAATTCTCATCTAATAAGGTTTTGGAGTTCTTTAACTCACGGTGTAAGGCTCCATCTTGTGAGACCCCAAAGGATGATGAAGGTAATCCCATCCATGGGAAACACCATTGTATATTTTGAGACGCTGCTTCCATGTGTGACTAGCAAATTCAAAATTATGTCTTGTGCTCGTCTCACGTGGGGCCAGTGGCTCAAAATACGCTATTGGAGTTGTCGATGGATAGGATTCTCTTTATAATCCTTGGCAGACGCAACATCAAGTCTTTCTCCATGATTTAAAGAACTCTAAATTCATGTTGGATGAGAATTCGAAAGTAAAGAATTCTTATTTAACACATTTGGAAAAGGCACACTAAGGGGTGATGGAGCTAATCCATGCTATGGTCAAAACCGTGCTTATTTTGGGACGTTTTATCCATATCTAAAGGTGTTAGCGAATCTGATTTCACCGTCTCACGTGGGTCAGACGTCTTGAATAAGCATAAGCAATTGATGTTGTCCATGGATAAGACTCTTTGTAATCCTCGAGTCCCTGGAATACGCTTGTTTGTAGACAATAATCTTCTCCTTGTTTTGTTGGGAGGTCTAAGCTGTTTGTATTTGCACACTTCCAATTCAGCTGTTTGTAAACTTACATATCCAATTCATGTAATTCTTAAATTATGAAGAGCAATTGATATCCTACAGAAATTGATCGCATCAATCAGGTCACAAGTAGTTGAAATGTTTCGATTTATTCGAGATCCAGAAGAACACAACTAACTACCCTTCAAAACCCATATACAGGTTGAGAACGATAGTAGCTTTGAAGACGGATTTCTAGTGTGCCAAATTAGATTCGCCGTTGTTCAAACGGCCGTCGTTCTAAGTCGGTTTGAAACTGCTTGTTTAAAAACTAAACGGGAAAGAGATGATATCAAGTTCGATGATAAAAAACATAACCTGACCACCTCCGATGCTTAAAACTATTCAATTTTGTATAAATACATGTTATGTACGCTATTCAATTTTGTATAAAACTATTCAATTTCGTATAAACTGACGGGTGTCGAGTCCGGCAAATAATATAATTTTATAAAATAAGCCTATTATCTCTAAAACACATTTGTGATAGCGATAAGGAGACTCGGTGTTAATCGTAAGTCCAAGACGTGACCGCGTGCAAATTTATTGAAAATAATATGCATATACATATGGAGGAGGGGGTTGGAAGATTGATAAAATAGCTTAAATATGCAAAACAAAATTTGAGAACGTTAAACAATAATAAGAGCTTCTGGTAGTAAGTAAACACACTTTTCATTGGACGATATATCATAGACTTGTACTGAAGTATATTTTCATGTCAATTCAGAATAGCTCAAACGTTGATACACATCAATGTTCTGTTTGCCATAACAAAATCAACTAGCACGAGTAGCTCGAAAACGAGTCCCTACCCAACTAGTCGGAACAGTCACAGACTTGGTAACAATTGATAGATGCATTAAGATTTAGCAAACACCATTCCTAGCTAATATTTAGATGTCACATACTAAAACTAGAATTTTCAAACTTGTAATGTTAAACAATCAACCAAACATATCAATCGGAACATTACTTGCTACAATAACAAAACGAGAAACAATTACAGATTCCCCGTTTCGTTTAGCAAATCAAAATCAGATTATATAAAATAGGGGATCCTACCTAAATCACAAACCCGACTAAGATTCAACTTTACAGTCAAAGTTTGCATATATGAAATGACATTGAAATATAAATCAAGTCTCAACACCATCCAATTGAAGTGTTTACTTGCTCACTACTAGAATAAAGGATTTAGTTACTCATGCTTAGAACTAAAAAAAAACTTACAAAATGATTGAAATGTAAGAGTTGGTGAAAAAACCTGGAATTTGTCTTCAAAATCGCTACCCAATATCTGGAAATAGGCTTACTGTTTCTTCACGATTCCAGTCATGATCAATCCTTTTGAAAATCTTGATTAGTCCTCTAATCCTCCTCTCGATTTATGCCTTGCTATTGCCCTTTTCGATTTCTGCTCGTTCTCTCTAAAAAATCCTCTCAATCGACAGGTTATGGTACTGCCCTTTTCGATTTCTTTCGACTTCTGTTTTCTGCTCGTCCTCTCGATTTTTTGCTCTTTTTTCGATTTCTATCCCCTTTTAATCGACAGCCTCAATCGACAGGTTCTGTCGATTTCCCTCTCAACCGGCTTCCCCTTTTCTCTAATCGAATAACCTGCTGTCTCCTCTTGATTGACAGCCTCTCCACCTCTCTCAATTGACAGCTTCAATCCTTCTTAATCGAACCTCCTTCTCTGCCCACGTCTCCGTCTTTCTGCCCATTTCGCTGCTGCACGATGTTATTCTTTTGGGCTGTTTACTTTGGGCCTAGCTGATGATGAGACCAAAAACACAACAATCAATTTTTTTTTCCAACTTAAATGGCCTCGTAAGATTAAATATCATCTTAAATTAAAATGGATATTTTAGGCATCTAATTGACATTAATCTCAAGGTAATTTTGACGTAAAAATATATATATATTTGTACTTGTCAAAAACTAAACGGGAAAGAGATGATATCAAGTTCGATGATAAAAAACATATCCCGACCACCTCTGAAGCTTAAAACTATTCAATTTTGTATAAAATACATATTATGTACATTTCATTCGATATGTTTTACTTTTCATAAAATTATAAGTAACATGTAATTTATTACAAAATTTATTAGTTCCAAGGTTTTTAATTAATAAATAAGATATTTTTTAATAAATAACAACACATTACAAAAATTGGCTTTATTGGTTGGAAGAAATCTTTGTTTCCGATGTTACTTCTGAATATTGATCACGTGTCCCCTCACGCGTTTCCTGCTAAAATCTAAGAAGGATCATATTTGAAATTATGGTTCAAAATGAGGACTAAATTGGAAGATATTATTAGATCAGGGACGATTCCTAAACAATCTTCTTCCATATAGTTTCATATCAAGACCCGAATCACCACCCAACCCAACTCTCATGGATCAAAATTCACTTTGATTCGATTTCAATCGACCACCCGATCGCCAAATGACTCTGTTCCTTCAGCCTATATATAGCCTCAGAGCTTGCTAATTTTAAACCCTAGATCTCAGTTCATCAAAATAACCTCCATTTCGACACTGAAGATCGATGATCCTGGCTAAAGTATAGGTATGTGTAGTATATTGTGCTAAACTTATGTCAGTTTTTATTGACTTTAGATATCTGCAATCATGAGCTTTCGGATCCTGTAATTCGTTCGATTAAGCTGCTGTTTTTGGTAACTATTCAGATCCGATCTGGTTTGTTACGAAACTTTCAGATCTGGTACGATCAACTGTCGGAACTTGATTTAGTTTTGGTTAATTTTGATTTTGGTGTGTTTTATTTAGACTTTGTTATGTTAAGGGGGTGTTTGGGATTGTTTATTTTATCTGCTTATTGACTTATTTCAGTCTGGCACCGGTGATAAGTTAATACCTAGTGGTTGGATAAGAAAAAAGAAAACTGCTTATACCGGTGCCAAACCGGTAATAAGCAGTTTTTGATAAGTTAATCCGTCCTGACTTATGAAAAACTGCTTATTATCAGTTTACCATTTTAATCCTATTATCCTTTATACCTATCTCTTTTCCTCCCGATAACATCGATCTCAATCTTCTCCCTTCTCCATATAACAACATCAATCTTCTCTCTGTCCTTTTTGGTCATTTTACAGATATAAGCAAAATTTGCCAAACACTAAAAAACAACTTATCAGCTTATTGCAGTTTGGTACCGCTGTAAGCTAATCCAAACACTTTTTACAAAACTCCAGTTTGATACCACATAAGTTAATAAGCACTTTTACAAAAAAACATAAGTTGTTTTAAATAACAATCCCAAACACCCCCTAAATCTTGTTTCTTTTGTTTCTGACAATTGGTCACTTTCTATGGATAAATGATATCCTTAAACATTCTTTTGGGGTCCGTTTGGTTTTAGCGGAGTGTTTGTGATTGATTTAGATTTCGTGGAAGGATTTGGAATGCAATTTAATATCCGAATTCTATCAAATGTATTCCAATCTTGTCTTTGGTGTAAAGAAAAACCCCTTTGAAAATGAAATACCACGAACATTGGATTTAAAAATCGCAAGGGTAGCTCATATTTCAAGCTGGTAATTTGTTTCTAATAATGTTTTTAAAATATAATCAACCGGAAATTACTTAAAATAGTTGTCTATGTGTATAATGTCTCCAAATTTGGTCATTATTAATCAAATTTCGTAATTGATATAAGCAAGATTCTTTGATTTTAGTTCATGTGCTCTGAATGCCGGATTGACACATGTTTTATTATGTTTGTAGGTGAAAGTAATGGCGAGCATATGTTTGTTTTGTTCTACATTGGTTTGTGACGAGAAGGGGAGGGCAAGGAGATTATGTGAGGCCTTTTGCTGATTGTAGTTGATGCTATCCATGTTTGATAAAATATCATCTTCATAATCATGTTAACCTTAGATGTCGAAGGATTGTGAAGTATTCTAATCTATGAGCTGCCCCAATGCATATCTTAAGACGTTGCATCCATGTGAAACATGTGCAAACATAAGCTGTGTTGCACATGTTTCACGTGGATGTAACTTCTATAGATATGCATTGATGCTGTTCGTGGATGAGAATATCTTTATAATCCTTTGTGGTTGGAAGCCTATGATTTCACTTTCACATCATTATGTCTCAAAGAAGTAGTAGATTATACGAGGCTTTGTTACTGATTGTAGTCGGCGCCAACCATGTATGATAGTGTTATCCTTGTAATCATATATAGGCATCATTATGACCTAAAAACCCAAAGGTTTGTGAAGATATTCTAGTCCATGTGCAACCTCAATGCATATCCGGAGGCGTTGTATCCATGTGAAACATGTGCAAGCAATAACACGTGTTGCTCATGTTAGACGTGGATTCAACGTCTCCAGATATGCATTGAGGCTGTTCGTGAACGAGAATGTCTTCATAATCCTTCCTTTGTGGTTGCCGATGTTTTCGCATTTTATTATGTCTCATATTGTAGACTATTAAGTTTATCAAGTAGTTGATGCCATTCATATATGATAAAGCGTGCTAACACTTTCAAATTTCCTTTTATCTCAGATGTTGATTTAAATTGTTGGGTCAAAGCCCATTGGTGTGTACAAGTATATAATTGTAAATACTAAGTGTATATCTTAAGCCCACTCGTAAAAAGAATTTCCTTGTGGCCACGGAGGTTCAAATGCGGTGACTCCGGGCTAGAGGTGGCCAAAAACCGGTCCTGGGCCGGGCCGGTCCCAATCGGTCCTAACCTTTCTCATAACCGGCCATAACCGGTCCCGGTCGAAAATGATAGGATCGGTCAAGGTACTTCATAACCGGTTATGGGCCGCCGGTCCAGGTCCCAACCGGTCCTTACATTAAAAAATAAGATTTTTTTTTATTTTTTTAAAATGATATATATTTTTAATACATTATAAAATTTACAATTGGGTCACTCAAATACACTTTAAAAATGCGTTTTAATATAATTAAAATTACGTTTATTTTATAAAAATACATTATAAAATTATTTAAAAATACATTTATTTATAAAATTATTTGAATTTTTGGGCCGGGCCGGGCCGGTTCATAGTCGGTCCCATAACGGGTCCCAGTCCCAGTCGGTCCCGGTCCCACGAAACTACCAAAAACGTCAACCGGTCCCGGTTTTCGGTCCCATAACCGGTCCTTACCGGTCCCGGTCCCGGTCCCGGTCCTCCGGCGGTCCCAGGCCGGGCCGGGCCGATTTGGCCATCTCTACTCCGGGCTATCTGCAAAGCAGGTGGTCGCCCTAGGATTAGTCAGCTTGTATAGCGGGTTGGATATCTGGGTTAATTAAAAAAAAAAAAAAAAAAATGCTAAGTATATATCTTAAGCCCACTCGTAAGGGTAAGATTTAGGGGGAAAAAGGTAAGATACTGAGGAACAAAGTAATTTGTCTTGTTATGCATACGTATATAAAAACTAAGAAACAATTTCAATTATCTATATATACATGTACGTACCGTTCAGATGAATGATTATTAGGGTGTTTCTCCTAAATCTCCCTTATATTGTAATATATATTGTAAAGTAAATAAAGACCGGGATACGTGGATGATAATCCATAGTCCACTAAGTAAATTTAAACACTCATCGGTAATCTGACAATAATTTGACCATAATCCATGGTATGTTATTTAATTATCTATGGGAAATATCGTGTTTTAGGGATGTATTGTTGTCAATCATGTATGTGCTCCAAAGGATTTCTTTCGTTGATAGCGTGTCGATATGCCAAGTTACGGATGAAAACCGATCATTGGTGATAGTCTTGAACATTACCATCAGTTTGTTTTCAAGACACCTAAAACTCCAACTATTCACTTTTAACCATGTATCTCTTAAACATTCACCATCCAAGCCTGTTCCAGACATTTTATGGGCCCTGGACGAACGTAAATATAGGGCCCACTGCAAAAAACAAAACTTGTAGCAACGACTTTTGTCATTGTTAAAAGTCCATTTATCATCAGAAAGAGTATATATCAACATGTCGTCGTTTATAGTGGAAACATGTTATCGCTAAAAGGCGCATCGTCAAAACTCATTTTTCTTGTAGTGACTCTCGATAAGTACAATTTTTTTTCTTCAATAAATGTCTTTCATTAGTATAAAGTTGAGTACAAGAAATGCTAATAATTTACTAAGGAAAGAAATCTTATTTATCTTATTATAGATATATAAAAGAATACTTAATTATTATTTTTTGATTAACCTGGATATCCAACCCGCTATGCAAGCCGACTAATCCCAGAGTAACCACCTGCTTTGCAGGTAGCCCGGAGTCACCACATTTGAACCTCCGTGGCCACAAGGGGATTTTTGTTCCTTCTTGTATTTGAACCTAGGATCTCCAAACACTTTTGACATTTAGAGTCAAGCTCAAACCAATCAGGCACCACCCTTGTGGTTACTTAAATTTACGTACTTCTTGTTAGGTAATTTGAAACCAAAAGTATAAAAACTATGGTTGATAAATTTTTATAAAAAACAAGAATTTTTTTAGTTCATAATAAGAAATATGTGTTATTTTGATACAAAAAGAGAATTTGTATAAATGAAGTAATCGTGAGGGTCAATGAAAGATCAATAATAAAGAAGACTATCAAGGTTTTTTAAACAAGTAGACAAATGAGGATCAATTAAAATATGAAAGAAAAGATGATTCATTGAGATCTAATAAGAATAAATAATGAATTAAACATATAATATGCAAGCTCAACAAATGATTGTTTGAGTATTTAAATAGAATCTTGTAGTGCGGAGCGGTTAGTGACCAGGGATCACTTTCAGAGTAAAATTAAAACCACGAGAACGATTTTTAGAGATATAAAAGTTCAGGTCCCACTTTCAAAGATTTCACTATACGACATAGACCAAAATTAGAGTTTACTCAAAAAACTAATTCCTTCTCCAAAGAGAAAATTCTATATCAATTTCATCCATATTTTAGTTTCATATTTATATAAAATTATATGTATTATAACAAAATGAAATAAATAAATAATATTAACATAAATAGGTGATCACAATGTGTAAAAGAAATTGGTGGTCACAATGTTCAATTGAAACAATATATTTGATGGTGGTTCACATCGTGATACTATAGATTTTTGGTTTTGGGTTCAACGGAGATGCTTGACGGGTGTTCAAACTTGATTATTGATTTTGTTTATAGTGTGTATCAAAGCCTTTACAAAATGTTTTTAGTAATTTATAGTTTTCTTGGTTTTATGTTATTGGTGTTTTTGTGTTCACATTATGTTCATCTGTGACCAAATTGTGTTACGACCTATGGGAATGACTAGTAGAAGAACCTGCATAAAAAATGTACTGCAACGAAAATGAGGAGAAAGAAACAAGTTGAAACCTCATGATCAACCTCCAACGAGACAACGAAACATGTGATTTTTTAAAGAGCTTAAAACCTGTTCAAGCTAAGTATCTTATCCCCCTATTGATTTTTATTAATTATGATAAAAAAAATACAATGAGGGGCACATAAAAACCGAAACCCCGAATACAAAATATAGAATGATAAAAGGATAAATCCTGAATTAAGATCGTGATTCCTTCTTTTCCACTTTTCATCTTTCCAAATTGAAGTTAGCAAAATAAAAACTTTATTTCAATACGTGGAACTTAGAAATTAGCTAGGTACCGGTTACTTTCTTTCAACCGAGTACCATTAATCTATTATGCAACATTGCAACCAATATATTATACGACACCTGGTGCAATGTTATTAAATAAGAAACACTGGTTACATGTATAACAATAATAACTGAAATGCAAACATGAAATGAAAAGAGAAAGGACAACTACATGGGTCTAAACTCAATGCCTTGTACAATAAGGTCGACAATTGTTTCGTTTTCGTTTTCCTCTTCCGCTTTACTGAAGAGCAGATTCATTCGGATAGTTCCCATGATACTAGGTGAAACTTTCCAGATTCGACATTCCATCCAACCATCCTTCCTCATTTTCGGATGACCTTCTATTTTGCGGGTACATGAAGGGATTCCATCAACATTGGATCCAATAATCGGGGTATGAGGAGGCGCTAAATAGATATACCATGGAGAACGCAAAAGATCTCGCAGATTCCATCTATTTACTTCTACAACGCACTGCAACAAAGAGTAGTTTTCTGGTAGCTTGTATATGAGGTGACACGAATAGGTTGTTTGGGGTGATAACACTCGGGATCTGATTTTACATTTCACCGTAAAACTTTTTCGACCACGAGACTCAGCCACCACATCAAATCTACAGAAGAGTATGAGGAAATATATGTATTAGGAAATGATAAGTCTGTAATATAGTTCATGGTTGTAGAAAACACATGAAATGGTCAGGGATGTTCTAATCTTTTTGAAGTCACTGCTACATCCAAAACTAAATGGGCTAAACCTAAAATGATTAACAATCTGAAACTAAACCTAAACCATTAATAATTTGAACCTTAAACTAAACAATTAATGGTTTGAAGCTAAATAATTTCAGCTATAGTTTTACACAGGTCGATAAAAGACCCTGATCACATGTAAATTTGGGCCCCAAAATTTCGGGTGCCCTGTTCAAAATCTCACATTTAACATGCTAAGGGACGACCATGGAAATGGTGTAAGCATATGGCATACAAAATGAATATGAATTGAAAAACAGGTGGATTACCTTGATCGTGATTCAAGGAAAAGGGAAGACTTCAATATCCATTCATCTACATCAAGAACTGCTCTGGGAGATATCATAAGTCGTTTCTCCATGTTTTTGTTAATAGAAAACCACTGTTAATGGATAAATATTACATCTTGTTAGTAATTTTGTAATATAGTTGTTATCACATCATTTAATGAGGTCTAGAAAAAATTCAGAAAAACCCAATAAACTGTACAATTTTCATTGATTAACTGTCTGGATATTTTTTAATAAATAAACCATCAAGTTTTTTAAAAATTGGTTACTATTTAACATCATTTTATCCCAAAAAACTACTTGTAATTGAATAGAGAGGTTTAAAAGGAAAATATGAATCAGTTTTAATGTTCCCGAATCTTACGTCATTCAAACCCCTTGCACACAACAACATCCCTCCCCATCGTAGTCCACTCTCTATATTTGCTCCATATAATATACACACATATATAATATTCAACAATTAACATCTAATCCCTGAACCAGGGTGTTACGACTCTTAACATGAAATGTTAATATATGTTAACTTATGTGAACATCCGTTGACAAAATACTTTCTATACTTCCAACAAAAATTTGATTTCCTATCGAAACCCGACCTATATGTATGTGTATATGTGCGTGCATGTATGCTTGTTTGTGTGTGTGTATATATATATATAGGGAGTAGCAAATGAGAACATGGTCAAAATAAGAGAACACGAAACCAACAAAATCACATTATTTTGCACAAATCACATACATACATACATACATACATACATACATACATACATACATACATACATACATACATACATACATACATACATACATACATACATACATTGTCATTTAATGAGAAAGCATAGATGGAATGGAAGAAATACCTTTTCACCGTTGTCGATGAGGAACCCTTGTCGTAAAACAGAGTAGAGCTCCTCCTTGGTTGTCCATTGTATCGTAGTTTTTGATAACTTGATTAAATCTATATAATCAATCGGAAACTTTTGTTCCCAATCTGTGTTCGACACATTTGACATGGATTGGATATTCACCTTCTTCTTTTCCTCTGTTTCCTATAAAAATATGTACCCATATTGAAGTTGGTTGATTCATATCATCAACAATTTTCTTCCGTTTGTCCAAATAAATTCATTTTGTCAAATTACATATTCCACATGACAAAATTCAATGCCTTCAAGAATTTGGCATTCGACGGAAGCCAAGGTCAAGCACTCGATCGTAAAGTGATGTTCTCTTTGTGTGCAAGTAAATTGGTATAGCTGAGTAACTAACCATCCATCTTTTCTCACTTGTGCAATAAATGGACCGGAATAGTCTGCCTCCTCATCCAGTTTGTATTTGTAGGGTACACATGTCCCGTGATCCGATTGTTCAAACTTGTAGACGAGGTTTATGTTGTATGTCACACTAGGTATCAAGAACTGTGTGCTTATTTTTAATTTAAAATCAGGAGCATCCTCTATGACATAATCAAATCTGCAAATATCGTTATCATATGTTATTATTTATCAAACGACTTACTCTTTCAATATAAAAAAGCTAAAACGAGTTTCATTTCCTACAAAATATATGATAGCTAGTAATGCATTTTCACAACTCCAGAACATCAATTTAAAGCTTGCAGTTGCAGAGGTTTAATCCAATTTTCAACATTAATTTAACGACAATCCATTCCATATTGGTAAATAGTGAGCTTAATTTATGAGGTTTTTATAAACTTAAGTTGTGGGTTAACTCCTAAACCTAACAAGGACCAAAAAATGGATAAAATCCAAACCATCTCCTTAAGTTGATATCTAACATCCAAATCAGTTCAAAATGATATTTGTGAAATCATTCAAGTAGGTCGGTGTTGGTGATTTGTATCACTAATATCATTTAAGTGTAATGAGATTAATTTGTTGACCAATGTAATCATGATAAATATCGAACAAATAAGGAATGTGCGAAGTACACTTGTTTGAGTTTATTTTAATTTAGGGGCGAAACCCCTAAATGACAGAGGTCCGGGGTCAGCGCCCCCTGTGACGGGGTCCAAGGGGTAGAGCCCGTGGCTGGGTCGAGCTTGGAAATTTTTTATTCGGGTAATATTGCTTTGTAAAAAATGCTTCAAAAATCCGAATTTGAAATTTTAAACCCGATTTAGGGTTCAAAAACTGCCGTTTTTGACAGTTTTCGATTTCAATTTCGAATTGGTCAATTTTGATTTTGAAAAGGTGCACAAATTCATAACGATTTTTATTCTCTGTTCGAAAACCACTGAATTTTATTTGATTGAAATTTCGATTGTACCATCGAAATACTTCAATCTAAAAGTGTTACACGACTTTCAGTGGAATCCAAACAATCGAAAACCAGAATTCCTAACAGTAGGCGTGTGATAACCCATCCCATATGGACTATTGACGAGAGTTGTGAACTCCTTTAAAGGTCGTGTTATGAACTAAGAATAACTTCTATCACGACTTTACATTTATTTGAATCTTATTATGTCTTTTTCGTCAAACTTCAATACAAACACTGATTACAAATGATCCATTATGGTTAAGATAATTACCGTCAACTACAAAACGAATAACTTATGTTTCTTAATTAATTGTTTAATCCTGTAAGTCTTTTTTGTTAAGCTAAATATAAAATAAATAAGGAAGCTATTAATCCATGAACGAAAATAATCTCACTTTTTACAAAGAACATATATACCATGAACGTTTATAACAATATATATATATATATATATATATATACACACAAAAATATAAAATCATAACAGATTATTTCATAGATAGAAGACAGAAGAACGGTTTGTAAATAACATATTCACTGAGAGAAATTAAGTGCATCGATCTAACCTTGAATTTCCGTCCTCAATAACTTCAAGGTCTTCTATTTCATCATCGGTAATACATTTTATTATCGATATTGTTTCATAAACTCTCTTATCCTTGTTTATTGAAAGCCACTGTCCAATACACATATTCAATTTATCATATTTAAACAACAAGCTTCTTATATTACTAAACCTATCCAATAGGGAATACACATCTATACTATATTATAAAGCATTTGACAAAAACTTTTAAAAACCACTTTTTATGTGTAAAGTACTGTTTATTAATGCATATTACTTAAAACTCAAGATTACAAGTAGATTGTGCGTAAGTACAACTTATTAAAGCTCTATATCTAAATTCGTGTAATTAACTATGAATAAACATAATCAAATAGAGGATAAACATCTTACTTTAAATATAAAAAATCAAAAATATAATTAGGATAGTCATTGAAATCTAACAGCATACTTAATTATTATCTTTATAAAATGTTATATTATTAAACCAAAAATAAATTATTTCATTATTAAACTTAAATTAAATTATAAAAAAATAAATCAAATAAATTACATAAAAAACAAAAACTTTTAAATAGTTGATTTGATATTAACATTGATATATTTTTTTTCAAAATTTTATTTTATTCAAAAATAAAATCATTATTGCCTTTTCTTAAAAACACATAAAATCGTATTATAACATCGACAAAGACAAAATAAAATAGAACATTAAAATCGAAATATATCTCACTACATTGCACAAATACCCTTCATACGTACATGATAATAATAGATCCACACTTTTATATCATCACATATGATATTGTTAATATATCTACAATGATTTTTCACGGTTCTATATTATTCATAGATCAACATGTGATAATAATAATATCACATCCATGTGTTATCACATATGATATTGAATAATAATGAAAAAAATTTGTGAATTTTTTATAGATTAATTGTAATTAAAAAAAATAAAATCTAATTAAAAATATAATAATTTTTTTAAAAGATTCAAATACTAAATTAGATAATCCTTATAATTCAAATTACCATAAAATTGGATATAATTAATTAAGGTGAGAAGATGAGATATGTTATCGTGATGTTTTCATTTTATAAATATAAATATAAATATAATAAAAACGATAATATTAATTATTACCGTTGTATCGTTATGACGAAACCCATTGGAGAGAAGCGAGAGGAGTTCTTCTCGGGATTCATAGACCAGAGGAGGTTTTGCAAGCCTTCCAAGCTCTACTAATGACCGACTTGTTTGAGAAAGCTTCTGTAAAAATATTATGTCATAATTCGATTCTATAGAAAACATTGGATCTAAAGAACCCAAAAGAAAACTTACTTGTTTTGCAAGAGCAACCTCGAGTTCTTTGACGATCTCCAACATTGTTGGTCGTTCTTTACGATTTCTATTTAAACATCGACTTGCAATGGCGGAAAACGTCATCAAAGAATTGGAATCCGTTTGTTTCTTCAGATCAGAACTCACGATATCATCTAGTCTATTTTCATCATAATGGTTTTTCCACACACCCACTAAAATTTCATTTATCCGACCATCACGATATTTGTAACATAACCTTCCGCACATTACTTCAAACAAAACCACTCCAAAAGAGTATATGTCAGACTCTTTCGTTAGATAGCCCAGTTCCCAGTACAACGGATCACAATACCCAGGGGTACCAACAACATTCGAAAAAACATAGGTTTGTGGTTGGTTAGCTGGGCCAAATTTAGACAAACCAAAGTCAGAAACTTTTGCAGTCCAATTCTCGTCCAGAAGGATGTTCGAGCTTTTTATGTCTCGATGGATTACTCTTTTTTGTGTGTTGTTGGGATCATGAAGGTAGTTTAGTGCACGGGCAACCCCGATGCATATCTTGATACGTTGGGTCCATGTCAGGCTGACGTCACTTAGATAGTGGTCGAGGCTCCCACGAGATGCAAACTCGTATCCAAGGATCCTCTCGTGACCTTCATCACAGAAGCATAGAAGAGAGACCAAGTTTTCATGTCTGTATTTGGAAAGCATGATGACTTCCTTCCAAAACTCGTCATTCCCTTGCCCATATTTAGGATCTAAGCGTTTGAAAGCGATCATGCATTTTCCCTTTGGAAGAGAGAGTTCCCCTTTATACACCGATCTGAATCCTCCATGTCCTATTAATTTCTGTCGATCAAAGTTGTCGGTGGCTGATGCTATATCTTTCAGGTGAACTTTGAGGTGATGAAACTCTTCTGAAGACATTGTTTAATTAATGAAAGAAATACAATCAAAGGAGAAATACAATATACATGAATTTCAAATGATTAAATCTTGGCTTATTAGATTAAGACGCCTAAATGATTAATATGTAGACGAGTAGGGATAGGGTTCCATTTTTCTCAGCCATTAAAATATAGGTACCATTTTTCTCAGTGTTCTAATTGTTCCTTTTGAAAAAAACAAAGTTCAACAACTGTTGAAAGAAGAACAATAATTGAAAATATATATATATATATATATATATATATATATGGGAAATTAATAACATATTCAATTTTTAACCAATTTTTGTACTTAGTTTCTATTCAATTTTTAAACTATTTTTGTACTTAGTTTCTATTCACATTTTTTAAACTATTTTTGTACTTATTTTCTATCGATTTCTATTCACATTGAATCTTTTCTACAAATTTGTACATATATATAATTTAATTAATTAAATTAAAAAAAATAAATAAATTAATAACCAATGCAACAACATGTCCTTACATACAGTAGGTCAATCCTGAATAGATATTTACGTAGCCTATAGCATGTAGTCAAAATATATATATATATATATATATATATATGGGACCTAAAAATGATTAGAAACTCGGAAACCATCCATAATGCGTCATATAACATATTCATCAGAAATATGAATGCGTTGTTCGTCATGAATGTGTGATTAATGATAAATAACATGTCCATATTCATCATGAATGTATGATTAATGAAAAATAACACTTCCATTATCATGAACATGTGATTCACAATTAATAACATTTTCATATTCACCATGGATGTATTACTAATAATGAATATTCATTTTGAAGAGAGACATGTAGCATATTGTGGACTGTTCCCAGGTCGTTACTCAATTTCAGGTTCATAAGGAAACTTCTCTCTCTCTCTCTCTCTCTCTCTATATATATATATATATAGATGAGTTCAAACAAGAGCAATGATAAATACGAGAGTATGAGAATGACCCAATCACATATGATTTTACACTAAACTCATATGTAAAATCACATTTGCTTACACACGACCTAGGTCGCAGGATACATCGCCGTACACCCTTGCGTTGGCCTAATGTTTCGTATTCATATGTAATTTCAGTGCAGAATTACATGTGATTTGGTTGTTTTCATGTTCTTTTAGTTTGACCATATTCTCGTTTGATATATGGTTAAAATAACATGAATCAACCAATTTTTGTGAGACCATGATACCATGTAACGGTTTGATGTATGTTTGCTATAAATGATCGACGTGTTTTCTACCCGGGTTCAATTCCAGACGAACACAACAATTATGACTACTAAAATTGAGTTATAGAGTTGAATCATTGTGTTATAGGGTTGAATCATTCTTTGAAATTGAAAATTTCCAAAGAAAATATTAATTGGAGAGAATCTTTTTGTGGAAAATTAGAGTTGGTTGAACATTGGACTGTTCTAGATAAATAATCAAAGAAAATGACATATCAAACATCCATTTTGTGGAAAAAAAAAACCAATCAAGCATCTATATTTGTGGCTTAAAATTTTACACTTCCACTTTAAGTTAGTTGATTGAGGGTTTGGATTCTCGTGACCAAAATTACTAAACGGACATATATATAGCGATCAAATGAAAACCACTCAATTTGTACAAACCGTGAAAACCATATTCAACTAATCATAATTTTTCATTTTGTTCATTTTTTTGTAATTATGAGAGGTTGATTAACCAATTTTATTGTGCAGGGTGTTAATATATGAAACAGTTTCATTAAAATTTCATTAAATATTATATGAAACAATTTCATAACCATATATGAAATAAATTCATCAAAAAAATATTATATGAAACAATTTCATTAAATTTTTCATAAGATTAAACAATGAAATCGACGTATGGGGATGGTTTGTACAGTTTGTACAAATGAGGTTGGTTTTCATTTGATCTCTCTCTCTCTCTCTCTCTCTCTCTCTCTCTCTATATATATATATATATATATATATATATATA